ATTGCCATTGGGGCACAATACTCAAAAACATAATCTGTGTCAAATACTGTAAGTTGTGAAGGCAATTCTGTAAACAATAAAAGTGATTGCCGTGCTAAGCATGATAAGTTTGAATATAATTCACCAAAAACTATTCTATATAACCGGAATGTGCATGTTTTCCGTGCGCAGGACAAAAGCACAGCATGTGTTGCCTGAACAGAAGGACAATGGTTCTTCGTCCTTCGCACACAAAACTTCCAAATTTACAACCCCTACACAATAGTTTTTCTGAATTAGGCACAATCATATATATCTTAAATACACTAGTTAGCGCATCTCTTTTAATGAAATTGAAGCCCAGAATATTCCGACCAGCGGTTACCCCCATTTGAATAGATGCATGTGTGGCGGCCATGTTGGTGTTTCCCACTCGCTATTAATTAAACGCTTAAAAAACAACAATAACTTTCATCATTTGAATAGTTTAAAAATGTATTTGGAATAGGTTTACCTTAATATTTAAGTTCCGTGTTTAAGAAATAGAAAACATAGACGAATCTTCTCATTTCATGGGAATATCCTGAGTTTGCAATCACGGCTTGGATTGTAGAATAATTAGATGCACTATCTCGCGTGTATAAGATTTCTATGGGCACAATGCATATCACAAAAAAGTCAAAAAACAAATAAACAAAACCAACCGCTTCGCACGTTCTAAGGACGACCCTGGGACACAGGTTGAAACAAAACTCACATGAGAGGTTCTGATTTGGCCAACCGAGGCCGGTGTGGACGCCTGAGCTGGCGTTTCGTTTTCTGTAAATTGTTCTGTTTTTTTCTGTAGCGGTTACGTACCAAATTATGAGCAAATATGATGACAAAATTCAGTTTTCATTTGTATAGTTAGCGAGTTAACGCTCTACAGAGCGTCTTGTTTTCAACTAAAATCGGAACAGGCAAATTAGGACGAATTTCAACAGAAAACCAGTCTCAAACTTGAAATCGTGAGGGAAGTCGTGCGACCATGCACATTTATAAATAAATTGTCTCACTCATCAGATCGTGTGTGCAATTCTTGTTGGCGGCGGGAAGTAAGAAATTTATTTCAGTTATGTCATTTGGAAAGAACTCGACAAAAGAAGAGAGCATTCAGACTAACTTCAGAATCCAGATCGCTTCGTTTCACACGGCAATTGCCGTCTTCTGTTTCGCTCTCTCAGCAAAGCCCTGGAAATCGCAAAGTGTTTCGAATATGCTTACATTCTCCTCTAAATCTTGACCGCGCAATCTTCAGGCCTCTAAATCTTCACCGCGAAAAGCGCTGTTTCAGTGCTGTAGCCAGAACGATAATTGGGGGGGGGGGGGGGGGGGGG